GAAACATTTTGAAATCCACGTTAATAATTAATTGCATGCAAGTCAACCTCAAAAACCAAAAAAATAAAATTAATCTACATAGAAAAATTCATTATTCATCATTCTTGATTCTCTTCAGATCATTCATTCGTCATCTAGTATGGCTAATAATTGCATAATAGCTAGCCTAAAAAGTAAAAACAAAATATTAGTCCAACTCCAACTAGAGAAATTCATTATTCATTATTCATCATTAAGTAATCTTCCTCATAACTAATATGAGAAGTTTTTCAATAGGAATAACTAAATTATTTCATAAAAACCAATCCCTTTCATTACCAAATTTTTTCTTTATTCATCACTCTTTATTCCATGGTAAGGCGGGTTCGGTGGTGTCATGGTAAGTTTATTTCATTCTTACGCAGGCTTTGGGATTTACTTAAATGTCCAAAACCTCAACGTGAGTTGTCAATGAATAATTGTCAAGAATGTCAAGGAAGATAATTTAATTGATCTTGTTCCTGCTACACCGAAAAATCTTAGAAAGTGAAAAAATTAGTAGTTTTTCATTTGCAAATTCAATCAAAGACCAATGGTCTGATGAGTTTGAAAGATATATCAATTCTCTTTTGTTATTCTATTTGTTTTTATATAGATTTTGTTTTTTTTTTTTTCTGTTTTTGCAGGAAAAAATTTAGCAAATCTAGTCCATTTGATTTGTTGGATTTTTATTTTACTTATTTCAATTATCATTTAGACAGTGAACTGAACCGGTTGGTGGTGCATTTTGTAGAGGAGATTGGCTTAGCCTTCTCAGGCAATGGTCAGAAGAGTAGGAAAACTATGTAGAGGAAGATAGGTTAATCATTTGTATCAAATATCAAGTTTTCTTCTTTTTATTGCAAAAGTAATTCGAGCTAATGTTGTTATTTTTTGCATGATTTTGAATTTTAGAAGTTACTTGCTAAGTGAAGGTAAGAAATCAAGGCAAAATCTAATAGATTAGATTATGGCATTTCCCACATACGCCCGTGCAACAATCGTGAGTCTGGCTTGAGGCGGAGAGAAGGGGGCCCAGCCCGTGCGGCCGAGCCCCCTCCGTTTTTAAATTTTTTTAGGGTAGTTATTTTTTCTATAGGAAAAAATTAAATTATGTAATTTCACACAACCTGTAATTTTTTTTAATGACATACAACAAGCTTTTTTTTTAATAAATCCAAACTATATTTTAAACCAGTGTTATGTTTAATTTTTAATAAAAATTATTAAATAAAGAAAGTTTGGGGGAGAAAAATACATCTGGCTTTCTCTGGTTAAATGAAAACTTAAAATTTTAAGTCAAAAACCCAAAACCACTTTTAGAATACAAGTTTGGACTAAGTACTGTACATCCAAACTCACTAATAGAAATATAAAACTTAAGCCCTATTAATAATTTTTATTATTAGACTTGAAAACTCTTTTTCTTTGCTTTTTAACTTAATCGTAATCCCTTAACGAAATACGGCGGCAGGGAGTGGAGTTTTGCAAATGCTTCCCCAAACGGCAAAACCCCAACTCATTCCAATTTTATAAGATCTAAATACCCATTTTAGGTAATTTTTCACTATTTATTTACTTAATCTTTTAGTGTCATTACCCCACATTTAAACATAGACATATTATGATTGTGATTTGTGAATCTATTTTTTGGTAATGCATCCTCTCTACGCTCTAGTCTTTACCTTATTGAGAATTCCAGTCCCACATTGGTGTTGGGAGAGACACAATATCAATATAAAAGTACATGGGGTACTCCCCTAATTGCCAATTAGTTTTGAGATGGAATCCCATGGGCTTCTGTGTGATTTCAGAGCCAGTCCGCCGACATTCGGACTCCAAGAAAGTCCAACAAAAAAATAGGGCTGAGATGTGAGACGGTGCCTAGGCTGAAAAAAATAGGCCATGCCCAACCCCAAAAATACGTTGGGCTTGCGGGAAAGTATTGAGAATCTCAGTCCCACATTGCTGCTGGGAGAGACTGAATATCAATAAAAAAGTACATGGGCTACTCCCCTCATTACCAATTGGTTTTGAGATGGAACCCCATGGACTTCTATAATACCTCACGTTAGGAAGGTTTTAATCAAGTTTTAAGTTTCAATCTTTTTTTTCAACTATTATTACTAGATTAGTAATAATAGTATAGGGAATTGAATGACAGCCTAGTGGTTAGGTTGTTTTCCTTCCTGGTAATCACCAGGGGTTGTAAGGAAGGGTTTTACCCACATTTAAGTTGGGTCCACTGGAGTGTATTTTTTTAAATAGAAATAATAGCCTAATAGGGGGTTTATTCATTGATATTTCAATCCTTGTTGTATGATAAAAGTAAGGATAATTTTTTAGGTGTTGGGTACTTGAGAAGGATGAGTTTATGCCTTGTTGTATAATACTTCATGTTGAATATAATTATTACGGATTTTGACAAAATGAAGAAAAGACGGGGTCAATTTCAAATGACTCACATAAGTTCATAATTTTTTTCATATTTTAATACGTTCTTTTTTTATTTAAATTTTCGCACCTACTCTAGTTATTTCCCGGCTCTACCACTAAGTCTGGCAGTTCTTGCATAAGCTCGTGCGACAATCTTGGGGTTCTCGTGCTCACCTCAACACAACCTTCCTTATAGGTTTTGTTCTGACTTGAGCTCATTCGTGAAATGCGTTAACTCTTGACTAGTTGTAACCTTAAACTCACTCTAATCGCACCTCTTAGCCGAGTCCCAAGTTAGGCATGCTCTCCGAACTCTTACAGGTTGACAAGTCTTGCTCTCCTGCAAGGCTACGGCATAGCAACACCGCCCTAACGCTAAGCAGTTCATCTACCCAAGTAGGCACAAATGTAGTAGGCATGTGTACCGTGTGCGCCTCAAGACAACTAGGGGGTTGAGGGCTGCCCTGTAACATTCTCCCCCACTCATTCGCTAGCACTCTCGGTGGTAGATGGGACTACATGCCCTTTGGAGGAGATACCATGTGCAAGTATATGCTAAGAGAGCTTTCACACTTGGTTGGAGAATACCCTTTTTTTTTTGAAATATAAAAAACATTCAAAATTTAGATTCGTAAATTACATTTATAATTAGATGTGACAAACCATGACTTAAAGATTTTCAGTAATTTTTTAAAAAACATAAGATTTTTAGTATAATGCCCATATGATTCCAAATTATTATTTATTATCTTCATCTTTGTTCTTCGCTGTTGTTTTTCTTGTTTTGTTCAGTTTAGAACAGTAACCTTCATGAAATAGAAGAAGTATTAGTTCTGAACTAGGGGATTCATTAACCCATCAGAAACCAAGAGAAGAAAACAAATAAATTTTGCCTTGATTAACATATTTTTGTTAAAGGATAAATAGAGGGAGGGAATTTATTAAATTATTAAAAAAAGAAAACTAATCTTTCCCTTTCATATTCATGTAATTTTTGTCCGAACGGGAAAGTCTAGAAATTACACTAATTACCGCACCGTTGGATCATTTTTAAATTAACAGTTACAAATAATTGCATGTGAAGCGAGCCTTAATTGGTAAAAAAAATAAAAATATATATAGTCAAGAAATTAATTATTCATCATTCTCCAATTTCTTCCTATCATTCATGCAACATTTAGTACGACTAATGGAGATCGGAAGTCAAGTCCTGTTAGTAATCTACCATATTAACAATCTCAGAACTCTATCTATAAAAAAGACTAAATTGTTTCATAAAAATTAAACCCTTTTCGATTACCATTTTTTTTATTTATCACTCATTATTCATAGAAGGAGGAAAAAAACATTGTGTTTGCATTCGAAAATTAAATGTAAACAACTAGAGATAAAATTTGATTATTTATGCGACTGTCCAATTGGAGATGTATTTACTAGCCTCCAGCTCGAGGACGTATAAATAAGAGGTGTTTAGGGTTTAATTGGAATATATACTATAAAAATTTTACAATGATGGGCCATTGTTTTATAAAATGACTGAAAAAGTAGGATAAAATATTTTTGATTTTTTAAAATAATATTTTATTAATTTAATATTATTTTATGCAATATCATATTTTTCTGAAAATATGATCAAATTAACTACTATAATAATGCTAAAGGACAAAAGTAGTTTCAAATGAAAATATAGAGGACAATTTCTGCCAGATATTAATATAAATGACCAAAATGTGCATTTGATTTAAATATAAGACAAATTTCATAATTTAATCATGCATAAACTAAGAGACTGTTTAATGCTATCACTCTTCACGCTTAGGGCAAGTCCAATGGTAAACCCATAAACTCATTGAATCAGCCCTACCAACTATTAAAATATAATACATTTGGACATGTTTTAATGTTTTACACTTTTTTTCAGAGCAATACCCCGCCACTTACACACGTTAATCCATTTATGAGTATAACCCTTGGTTTTATAGATAGAGGAGCATAGTGATTTTCTTCTCATAAACTGCTGAATTATCGAGCCAACCTGACTGATAAACCAACTATTGGAGAAGCCCTACAACTCTTTCCTTAACTTCAGTTTTGTTGTTTGATCAAAAGTTGAGACTATGTGAAAGAAAAACAACATTCAACTTGTTTATAGGTACAACTTGTTTATACGAATGCTATGGAAAATTTTTGAATAGCTTTGGATTTATTAGTACCTCTGAGAGCTACAAAATGAAGCAAATGTTTTTCTTGGAGAAGTTTTACCGGGTTCGTTTCTCTATTGTTGTTAAGTATTTGTTTCTCACAACCGTTTCAAGGGTGGTATTGCACTTGTAGCCAATTTTATGAATGTAGGGGACCTAGTTCACTTGAGTTCTGTGTGTGACGTGATTGAAATTAAGTTGCCACCAAATGGTAAGCTGAGCTGTGTTTTGTTTAGGACTGAGATTAATAGTAATCATCTTGCTGATCTTATTGGCTTTCCTGGTGTTTTTAGTTTTGTTGAGTGCAACCCTCACATTAAGTTTATCATTAACAAAAAACTTTACATGAGATTGTTGGTTATTAATTCTGGAGGTACGGCTGCAAAGAGTGATGCTAGTATTGATTATGTGCCTGATATGTTAGCTATATTGCCTCCTAAACGAGTAGTACAAACTATTGACGAGGACAGCAAGGTTAATCCTTTTCAAGGCAGAATGAATGTGCAATGTATTTTCACATAAGGAAATCGTCTAAGTCATTTTGTTATTGACCCTGGCATAGTTGTTGATCATTTACTATCAAATGATGACTTTGGTAGTGCTGAATTAAGAAGGTTGGTCCTTTCTGTCGGGTTAATCCTTGAGGACAAGGATGTTTTTAGCGGCAAAGGATGGGACAAACATCAACTGCAGAATCTAATGGTTGTTGGCGTCATTGCTCTGTGTGCAGATCATGTGAAGAAGCAGCTCACCACTGGTTTCTCTGGTAACGTGTCCTTAAAGATAACTGTTAGTACACTCTGGAATTTAGTTGCTGAATATGATAAGTTTCTCAGTGTCAATGCTTTCAATGATAATTATGATTTTGTTGTTATCGAACCTGCTTGGGTATTGTATGATGAGATGAGTGAACTGTTGTTCGACCCTACATGTATTTTTGATCATTTCGGTGAAGTTGCTGAATATTGTCTAGCTACTAGATTAAAAAGAAAAACTAGAATTTTTTATGAAGTTTCTCTTGAGCATAATGAGCTATATGTTCTAAAATCTAGAAACAGTTTGTGGCTTATTGGTGGAATCTGTAGTGGCATGTTGTCAAAAGGTATCACATCTTTGGAGCTGAATACTTCTCTATCTATGAATGTTGACGTAAATCATGTCTTCAAAGTTGAGAAGATTATCTGTAAGGAAATGAACTTTGTTTGGCGGATTGCCTGGCACATATTTGTAGCTGTTATTGGGGAGACTTCTAACAAAGTTAAGAGCTCATATGTTATTAAGAAAAATCTGATTTTTGTTGAAGATATATGCATCGTGAAGATCAGTTAGTTGCATTGAGACTTGGTGATGATACTATAGTGTATAAGTCTTGGTTAGAAGAGGCTACCGGGTTTAAAGGTGGTACAATTCTTCGCAGAGTTGGTGTTTTCAAGTTGATATTAAGGGTTGAAAATTTTGAATCTTTTATTCAAGAAGTATCAAACCAGCTGGAACAGTGTGGTAGGAGCAGTTGGGCAGACAGCAAATTAGGAAGTACTTGTGAAAAGTTTGCTAACCACCTAAGGGAAGGTTTATACAGAACGCAACCCGGATTGGTCATAAATCAATACATTGGTAGCTATGCAACACAGTATTCAGGTTGGGGAGCAAGGAAGTTGAAAGCATGGATTGAATTGGTGTCTAGTTGTGAAGGAGGAACAATCTACCCAAGAGGACCAGTAGCTGTTGTGATAGTTGATGAGATACATTTCATTTGGATGATTGCTTGGAAGGAACTGATTACTGTTGAGGGCTCAAAAATGAAGGACCATATATTTTGGTTCACTGAGTTGATACCATTGGTTTGATTTTGGTTGCTGTGAAGTACTGAAGATAGCACGACTTCAAGTAGTTCTCCATTTCACTATTTTTGAGTCTGTTGGTTTTCTTTCCATTGTCAGTTTCTGTTAATTTTCTGTTGTCTCATTTTGAAGTAGTGATTAATGACAGTCTTGGGGACAAGACTGTTTTAAGTGGAAGGGTTTGTCATGCCCCTGAATGGAATTGTAGGAATTAAGAATTATAGGGGTTAAATTGTAGTTTTTATATCTGGCTAGGCTATATATAGCGGTTTGGGTCTGTAATTCAATTATCAAAAATTTTAATATCAAATTGGAATTTTCCAGTTTCCCTCTTCTTCTTTGTTTTCCCCCAATTCCCAAACCCTAATCCAGCAACCTCCGTCCATTTCTTCCTTTTTCTGTTTTCCGGCCGCCCGAAGGCCCCCGGGTCGTGAAAATTAATTTAATTTAGTTTGTAATCCAAGAAAACAAAGGAAGCTGACCCATATTTGTTCTTCAAATCTGGGCCGAGCGACCCAACTAAGATAGGCCCCAAATCATTATAAGTATCTAGATCAGACTCCAATGTTTCTGCCTTCCCATACTTGACTTAACCATTTTCTTTGTTTTAAAAATCATTTTGAACCTCCCTATTATATATATATAAAAAAATCATTTTGAACCTCAATTCTTCCAGAGCCAAAATTCTAATTTGTCATCTTCATCTTCTCTGGTTTCGTCCACCGCCCAAACACACATATACACGCTCACTCCCTTTCCTTCTTACAAGTACCACCGCACCGACGAACCCAACCTCCATCAACTTTATTTATTTTTTATTAAAACTGTTAGTTATAGCAAAGAAAAGAGAGAAAGAAATCGAAGCCTTCTAACTGGGGAGTAGGAAGTCGAGGCGTAAGAAAGAGGAGAAGAGGAGAAGAGGAGAAAGGAAAAGGGGAATTGAGGTACCTTTGAAATCTTGGAGCATGGAAGTAGTAGGAGCTGGGGCTTCAAACTTTGAAGCGATTAAAGTATGATTGATAGTTTTAGGTGGCTATTTTTGTTAATTCCAGTAGCTCTATAGTTCTGAGTTACAGTAATCGATCTTGTTGTTGCTGCTTATTATGGCCCAATTATGGTAAGAAGAGGAACAAAGGAGCTGATTGTTTTAAAAATTAATTTTCCACTAATAAGGGTGTTGCTTCTGTTTATATTGGGACTGTTTCAATAGTGAGAGGACGGAAAAGGAAGCTGATAGAAAGTGAGAATTTAGGAGGATGTTGGAAAATTTTTAAAACAAGGGTGATTGCTATAGTTAAAACAAATAAAGACAACATTGGTTCTTTTCTTGAAATTAAAATGAAATGTAGCTATTTAGCTTCTATTTAGATAAGGGTAAACCATAATATTCTAGCTAACAAAATGTAACTAACTTGAGGTGCATTTCGTGTAGGAAATTAATTACTAGAAAGAGAAGAGTAGTTGAAACTGTGCTTGGATAAACAAGATGAGTTTTCCTGATTTCGTTGCCCCTGCATTGTATTATCATTACTTGTCTACATGTTTATGTGCTATGTTCTGTGTGAATTGTAAGTGATCGAATGCCTCTTGAACTCCTACTTTGAAATTGATTGACTGTTTGCTATTGGATGACTAGTACATGTATGTCATTATTATTTGTTTAACGGCTTGGTATTTATGAAATGATGTCTGAGCTGGCTGTGATGGTGAGAATGATGTCTGATTGTGTTTTGCTTTTCAAAAGAGTTTACTATGATCTTATGTATTTGTGAAATAAACTGGAGCTACAAGCTCGTGTGAAATATACTGGTGAAACAAACTGGGGTCATTTGGCTCGTGTGAAATATACTGGTGAAACAAACTGGGGCTGTTTGGCTCGTGTGAAATATACCGGTGAAATAAACTGGGCATTCATGCCGTGTGAAATTAATTGGTGAAACATATTGAGGCTATTTAGCCGTGTGAAATAAACTGAGGCTTTTAAACCGTGTGAAATGAACTGGGGCCAAGCCTGTGTGAAGAACATGCGAAAAGTATTGTTGATGTTGTTGAAATGGTTTATGTTTGATCATAATTTAATTCTGTTAATCGTGTGTTTAATTGTATGCTATTGAATTGTCTATGATGTGTTTATGGACTAGTTTTGATAATGCTTTCTGAATTGGGAACTCATTGAGCTTTAGTTCACCCTCTTTTCCCAACATTTACAGCTCATTTAAAAGAAGACCATAGGTATGGGATTCGTGATCGAAGAGAGGCTTGAAGTTAGTCTTGTAGTTTGTACAGTTTACTTGTGTTAAGTAGGTTTTATGATTTCAGTTGTAAGTTTCAAACTTCTTGAACTTTGGCACTTTTGTAAATGTATTAATCAAAGCTTTAATATGTATTGTTGTGTCATAAGGTTTACAGGAAATAAAAGTAAAATTAATATTAAATGTTATAGAATATTAGTTCTTGTACTTGAGTCCTAGCGCGAGCTAGGCAGGCGTCCGATTAAACACCTGTATTGGATAAGGGGTTTAGTTGGGGCGTCACAAAAGATGTTTGTGATGTGCTGAATGCTATAACTGTGCAATGTAAATCTAAATACTTAGGTCTACCCCTAGTGGTTGAAAGGTCAAAAACGGAGGTTTTCAGGTACGTGGAAGAAGCAGCCGAGCAAAGGATAAAAAATTGGAAGAACAAGTTGTTATTGGTTGCAGGGAGGAAGTGACGCCATCTCTCTGTGTATATTCTATGGCAACTTTGAAAGCCAAGAATTGAACTCTCTGTCTATATTCTATGGCAACTTTGAAAGCCAAGAATGCTTGGCAACATGAAGAGGTGATGGTGGAAGCCTTTGAAGTAGTACAAAGAGCTGTTAAGGAGTGGAGGGAATTCAGGCAAGCAAATCAGAAGAAGCAGAACATGGCTGAGGAAAGGGTGGAGGAAGGCAGCAGGCAGGGTTGGGAAGCAGCGGAACAAGGAGTGCTGAGAATAAATGTAGGTTCGAATTGAAGAAGGCGGGGGGGGGGGGATGAAGCTGGAATTGGTTTCAGCATCAGAGATGAGACTGGTCAGTTGAAAGCAGCACAATCAATATGCCTACCACATGCACTGAATCTTTGTGCAGCTGAACTGGAAGGGGTGAGGACTGCTATGCGAGAGGCTCTGCTGAGGGGTTTTAGAGTAGTGGAAGTCCAAATAAATGCTAATGTTATGGTAACATGGCCACAGGGGAACATTTCTCCAATGACAGAAGTTTTACGCATAACTAAGAACATCTCTTGGCAAAGATCATTATTTGATTGCTGTAAGTTTATCTTCATTAGGAAAGAGTGGAACTGAACTTGTCATAATCTAGCCAAATTAGACTTAACTAGCAAGTACACAAAGGTGGGAATCAAACTCGCCAACGTGGCTAGATGAGTCGTTTAAGGCGGAGTGCATTAATTCTATGTAAATATTTCTTATTGATAATCTCCTTTTATCTATAAAATGATTATCGCTTCTGACAAAAAAAAGAACATCATCATCACAGAAAGAACTGAACTTTCGTTGCACATGCAAACGGTAATCTGACATTGTACGTGCAAATTTTTCCGATATAAAACCCCACTCGACCGAAAAAAATTAAAGTTTTATGTGTTAAACGTCGGAAAAGCAGGTTTTTATCGAGTCTGCCTATTAGTCCTGATCATTATTTCAAAGACAAATTCTTCTTGTGTTTTGCCTTTTCGTCGATCTAGTTTTTTGGACAAAAATATTTCTCAAGCCTAATGGAAAAACAATAGCCTAAATAGTTTTAAAATTTTTTCTAAAACAATCTCCCTAAGGGTATAAAAACAAATTATATTTTTCTTTTAACTAGTCCATTTAATTTTTATTCATATTTTCCCTTCCGCCCAAGTTAGTTTCCAAAAGCTGTCACCAAAATTTATCAAAAGGGCATTATAACCTGTGGGCAGCTTAATTTTATCAAGGCATAAAGCATAATAAGTTTCGTTTGCAAGAGTAATCACCATGAATTTTACTAAGGCTTCATAAATTTCCTTAGAAGTGTCGGTGAGATAAATGAATGTTTTTTTTTAGGTTTTAAATAATTAGTTTTTAACATTCTAAGCAAATAACAAACTGTGTTGCAAAGAAAATTTCAATTGTCATATGAAATGTAACAGAAAGTATCACAAGAGATCACCTAATAATGACATTAATATACAGTAGAACGTTGGTAAATTAATAATCGATAAATTAATAATTCTAGCAATTAATAATTTTCTCCAGTCCCAACTTGGGACCAGTACAAAAGGGCAAAAAAATCGATAAAATGATAATATAATAATATTTCAGAAAATCTCCTATTTATCTATAGGTCCCAGTAATATCATAAATTAATAAATATTCTAAAAGCAAACAAATAATAATAATAACTATAAATATATAGTAAAAGATGAATTATTAATACTTTTTTTTTTCAGTTCTTAAAGACGATGTGAACTCTGTATGGACTTTTAGTATTCCAAGGAGTTCTTAACTGATTTGAATGTAAAGACAATTGCAATTTAGTATTTTACTAACCACTTTTTTTCTCATAGAAAACATTTAAATTAATAATTTATTAATTTATCGATTATTTAAGAATTCTCTAAATTAAAAAATTTTATTGGTCCCAACACTATTAATTTATAGAACTTCTACTGTAACTACATAAAATTGCAAAATACTATAAAGTGTAGTAAAAATAGATAAAAAAACATTCAATTTATATTTTAAATTTTTACTACAAATTGTACTAAAAATAGATAAAAGACATTAGTAGTAAAAAAAGTAGGAAATCGGTCAATGTTGGTTATAAAAAGCCTGAAATTGCATATCATGCCAAGTACTTGAACAGGTTGGGGTTTTCTTTGTCCCTCTCGAGATAGTCCCGAGTAATCAAGTCATCAATTCTCTTCTTAATCGCCTTGACGTCAGGCTTAAACATACAACTTAATTGTTCAACACATTCCATAAGTACTTGCTGACAAACCATAACTTTCCTTGTCTTCATGATGCGCACAATTGATGCATCAATGACGTAACGCCTATCTTTATCTATATCTTCAATCACCTTCTTCTTCTCATCAACCGCAACCGCAAGATTAGTGATCCTAATCCTACTCATTTTATTTGTGAACTTTGAGTTAAAGTCAAAAACATCAGTTGGAGACACAGTCTTGTTGTTGGGATTCTTAACCAAAATCTTGTACTTGGCACATGACAAGGAATGAAGTGTTCTCCCAACATCTTCATCGGACATATTTAATTGTGCCTTTATCTCTTGATAGCTCAATCTGTCTGATCTATTGAACAGAAGCAAAGCAGCAGCCTGGTAAGTTGATAGGATCAGTTCCACGGGCTTAGCATCAAACATAGCATTGATGTTACATGTCCCGAAAGAATGTAACCAAGAGAGTTTTCTGTGATTTGTCTTGGTTTGGTAATAGTCGCGAAACACTTCATCACATTTCACCATTTCAGAAGGGAGGTTAAGGTTTGAAGTTTTGTTGTAACTAGGCCAATACCCTGCAGTAAGAACGGTTACAGTAAAGTCGATACCAGGATTTGTCTGAGGATTTTGGCTGAGGTACTCCTTAAATTCTTGTTGGTTTTCTCTGGACAACGCGAGATCGGAAACCATCACTTCCATCTTTGATGTGAAATGACGCCCACATTGCTGTTTAAGTTTGGTAAGGAAACTTCTTTCGTGCTCATAGCTTGCACTTCTATCACACACGAGGCGGCGGGCAAGCTTTTTCCTGTAGAATTCTGCAAACAGATCCTTGTCGCGAACGTAAGCGAGAAACTTCACTATATTTTCAAAGGTTTCCTCAATGCCTTCGTCACTTAGTTTCTCAGCTCCACCACCTTTTACCAAAACACTCTCACATAATGTAGCGAGAAGTTCTGCACAGGAGCTTCCGCCAACACTCTTATTGCAAAACACTTCAAAAGCTTCCTTCAGAGCCTTATGGAATAAGGGATGGCTCTGAAAACAGTCATTAACATAGCCCACGTACTTGTCGTGGAGGTCAATCACCTCCCTCACAAACACTTGCTCCGGCAAAGCTGCAAAGTCTTTCTTGTCGGCCTCCTTCTCATGTTTTGCGGCTTCTTCTGCTTGCTTCTTTAAAGCAATGGCTTGTTCAGTTACGTGGTGTTTGAATGCTTCAGCAACAGGATTCAATCCTTCGCGTACTTTGGAGAAAAGCCTATACATCCTCGACAAATCGTCCACCTTGTTATCTCTAAGGAGTGCGGAAATTCCAGAGTCCTCTTTCTCTAACAATTGGGATGCATACACAGTCAAGAGCTCGAGTTGCGCTTTCTTGAGCAGCTGGGATGCATATACCGTCAAGAGATTGTGCTGTCGTTTGCCGAGCGATTCGGCTTCCATAGTGGAGTGGAGATAACGAGCAATTTTGTCCTCCTCTCGCTTCAAAAACGCTTCCGCCTTCAACATGTAATCCGGGCAACTATCTTCCAGAATCCATTTAGAAGCTTTTCGGGAGTAATAAGATGCGGTGTCCTTAAGCATCAAAGCTTCGAAATCCTCCTCATTATAACAATTCATCTTGTCCATCCCAGTTTGAACAAACATATCTAACACGTTCTTTAATAAAGATGGATCGATTTGATCTCCGTCGCGCTCCTTTTCAATCAGGGCTATAATTGCATCTCCAACTTTTCTTTTCAACTCCACGTACACCTTGTGTGAAAAACATGTCCGCCCGACTTCGTCCAGTGAAGGGAGGTTCCATACGGGTATGAAATACCGATCAAGATAATTAAAGAACCCTGATAGCCATCGAACCATGATCTTATAATTCCCCCATTGTTTCAGAAGCTCTCTCAACATGAATTCGTCGTGCTTGTCTTTTACACAAGGTAGCACATCGGTGGCTATGTACGCCTCCAACACCTCACGATATCTGCCGTATAAGAAATTTCTAGTTTCACTTTGACACATATTGAAAATGGTTGTGTAAAGACACATGTATTCTTCACAAGTGATTTTCGGTGGCTCATCATCACTTCTTTCAAGAATTTTCTTCAGCTTTGTAATCCCTTTCTCCATCACACCCCATCCCTCTTCCAGAGGAATCACCCTCCTCATGATGATGATATCTAGAGTAGCGAAAAAAAGAGTTTCAGAAAGCCCTATAATTTGAGAAAGCCCAAGAATTACAACCCGTGTCCAAATTCAACACCTAGAGAAGAGAAGAGGCGATTCTGATCGGTGAAAAAGAAAGATGAAATAGACTAGTACAGAACCCCTGTTTTTATAGGGAGGGCTTGGATCCTTTTCCTACTCGAAGTTGAACAAAACTAAATAAAATAAAAAAAAAACAAAAATTCTATCTTTTTACCGGAATTTTATGATTATTTCTTTTTCTGGGAAGCGAAAATTGACTCGTTTCGGACCGAGGATTACTCCAGATTCCAATTTGACTGAATTACGGAAAGTGCCCGGAAAGTGCGTATATATATGATGATGCTACAAAGATGTAATCGAAACACAATCCTTCAAAAAGAAAAAAAAATCTCAAAACACAAAACAAAAGAACCCAAGAAAAACTCAAAGCAATAATGGCTTAAGGAGGAGAAACAGAGAGATCAGCCCGTAGTTCTCCACCTGCTCAGAATAAATTTCCATAGCTTATGTTTGTTCATGACAAAGAACAAAATGACCAATGCTTTTAGGATTTCTTTTTTCCGAACCCAAATGCCAGAGGTTCTTAAAATCTATACCGGAGCTCAAGGATGACCCGATTGTTGGAATCATATATATTAATGCAAGGGAGTTTTGCGGCACTTGTTGCGTTTGTAGAAGCCGAATTTGAGAATTGGAGGAAAAGAATTCATTAAGACCACTGTCATTTTTGCCGTGTAGTTTTTAGTTTTCACCCATTTACCATTCTATCGTTCAAGATTAGGATATATCTAAATCTGAATTTTAAAAGCTGTTTGAAAAAAATGCAAAGAGAAGATAACGAGTATCCAGTTTTTGTTGGGATATGATTTGCTTCGGTAGAGTGCAATATTTGATCGACTATAAAATGATCACACCAGTTGGTAGTTAGGAATGGACACTGCTCGAAAATTTCAGTTATTTCTCTCGAATATTCTCCCGATTATTTTTTCGTTCACATATTTTTTTTTTTATAATTTTTCGGTTTGTATTTATTTTCTTTTGATGAGTTTGGATTGAATTTATTTTAGATTGTTCCGAATAATTACATATTATAATTTGTTGCAACTTTTGACGGTTGCAAGAATTTGCGATGGATTTGGAGTTCATATCTATAGTGTCGTGGTTTGGTAATCTTTCAGTACCTAAATGTTCTTTTGTTTTTAAATTTCTAGCGTATTTTTTATTTTCAACCCCTAAATGTTCATTCGGGTGAGGCATCAATCTATTGTGTAATATTTGTTGTATTGTTGTTTCAGAAAATCTCCAGTCGATTGCCGTCATTGTTTAGGGAGGAAATCCACGAGGATATGTTTACCTTCGCACCGATTTTTGTGATTTTTATGTGAAGTTGCTTATCACACGTAAAGGTTGGGGACGTCTTTGTTGTGGTAGATTCTTGGAATTCATTCGAAGCATTGGTTTGGTTCCTGGATCAAAATTCCATATCATAGTGGCTGAGGACTACATACTCAAATTTATCACCTTTGATCATTGTGGAATTCAAAATTTTGATTATTGTCGTTAACCTATATTGCCAGGAGGTGTACGATATTGTCTTGAAATAGTCAACGACTCTTATAATAAGGCGGTTAGTTTATTCTGGTTAATATTATTAAATAATTTTTGATATTCTTCATTCGATAAATGTGTAAACATTTGATATTGCAGATGATATCCACAACTTTTTTGTCATACTTTTTGTTTACAAGACCTCATGATTGTTTTATGGTTAGTGATGGTGATGTTACATGGCAATTTCATTTGGCAAGAAATTCGGGCAGATTGTTGGTTTCGGTGGAACTCAATGGCAAACTTTCTATAGATTGTGGGATCTTGGCATTGGATTTCATGTTTTTTCTCTTTGACCGGTGATAAATCCTTCCGTGCTACAATTTTTTATCTATCTGGATTTTCAGTGCAGAATTCTCACGTATCTTCTGATTTATCTGATGGTTAGTAGTAATTTTATAATTAAATTATCAAATCACTGTCAAATCATTTTTTTTAATAACGGTGGTTTGCAGATGATGGTGAAGAACCTTTATCTATGTTCCCCTACGTTCGAGATAATTTTTTCCATTATCACCTTTATGAACATGTTATCATTACCAGTAAAATGGTAAGTGGTTTAATTTAATTCTTGCATTTACAACTTTTCTATATACTTTTGAAACGGATAAATTAAGTTTGTTTCATTTGTTTGCATGTTTTTCTTTTCTGTTAATTAGTGTGCATTTTTTATTTATATTTTTGTTTCTTTTTTTTGTCTCTATTTGACAGCCAATCCCATCTTACCTGGTTGTTCGGCATGGATTAATGGAGAAATCAAATGTTGTCCTGGTTTATGATGGATGTCTCAAGACTTTTAATATGGATCTTCAACATGATGATTTTGAAGTTCACTGCAACGATCAGATTGTCCGAGCAGTTAATATTCATGGCAATTGGTTGAGGTTTTTTGAGGACACTAATATAAACATTGGCGAGAGGCTTACAATATGGATTAAAAGCAAATTAATGCAACAAGATTCGCAAGTTTTACTTTTCTCTGCAAACCAGTTCAATCGATTTGACAATCTTGATTAATATATGTCTTGAATTTGGATTTATATGTTATGTGAGAATAAGGATTGTGTTGGTGGAAATTTGGCATTAGTTATAATTCAGACATTAATCTTCTGTGTTAAGATTTTTCATGATAAATTAACTGTTTTATGAATAAAAGCGTTTTTGTATTAATCTTTTGTGTTCATTTTTAGCAAGTATGTTTGAAGATATTTCGGTAAATTTTATTTCAGTGTCTAAACGGAAGATAATTTGTATTAAGTAATTGTTGGGATATAATTTGTGTTGTTATTAGAGTAACATTTATAGAATAAAAAAGGTAATGTTACCGAATAGTCTTTATAAATAAATTAACTTAATATTGTGTATTATTAACATTTTTTTAACAAACATATGGCAAAAAAAACAAAAATCTTTCTCTGCGTAAAGAGAAATATTATTATTTTTTAGGACAAACTTATGGAAGTAAAACTTCTCATCGTGAATTATCATATCACGTCTTCTTTTTGTAAAACTATTTAGGACTATATTAGTTTATACCTATTAGTACTCTTTTGTTGTTTGATTCAATTTTACGTATGAATTTTATTTAAAAGTTGTTTTCGAACATTACCAGATAAAAGTCAATGTGACTTTGTTAGGTATCATAGTTCAAGTCAAATTGTTTTTATTTTTATTTGTAATTTGAATGACTTTTGGACTCGAATTTTTGGTACTATCATGTAGATGAGACTCGAAATAAATTTTTTGGTGCTATCATTTTATCGGATTAAACTATTATTAGATGACACTCGAATTTGAACAAATTTTAAAAATTCTTGAATTTGAATTATATTGATTATATTTAACGGATTATTAATACGATTAACTTGTTCATGTGTTTAAATTATAGATTTAAATATTAACTTATGACACCACTATTTATCCATGATAAGGAACCAATGGAAATACATGTAGGAATCTGAATTTGAAATAATGCGGAATAGATGGAATTGATTATTACTATCCATACAAAAATTGGTTAGCAAAATCCGATTTGAAATTTGTTGTGTAATAGTTGGTTTGTAGAAGCCGAATTTGAGATTTGTTATATATATTGATGAGACTTAATGGATTATTTATTCGATTAACTAATTTATGTGTTCAAAATATAGATTTAAATATTAACTTATGACACCAATATTTATCCACGATTAAGGAACTAAAAAAGAAATACATGCATGAATCTGAATTTTGAAATCATGCGGAATAGATGGATTTGAATATGATTATCCATACAAATATTGGTTTTCGGATTCTGATTAAAATTCATCTTCCTGCCTGTACATTTGTTTATTATTTTATTTCTTTATAAATAGTTCTTTCGGAAGTTAACTAATATCCACATGCTTCACGCTCATATCCAATATGTCAAAGTCAAATTTTTTTCTCTCGCGTAAGAAGCATACTTTCAATGTTCCTTCTCCATCTTCTTCACGTACAACATTCCAAGAAATCCCTGATGATATCTGTAACATCCTTGAATTTTGACATGTTAGGTAAATAATATCCCTGCAAAACTAATAAAAAAATAATAATAATTGAGATATATAGCTATCCAATTTGTCAAATTCTGAGGATTAAGAATATGATAATAGTGGTAATAATAGTATTATCAATAGGAATTTGACAGTGGACTAACATCTAGAGAAGGTGATTAAAAGAAATGAAAGTAATCCAACACTTAAACAAGGCATCATTGAGTTTAAGTTGACACATTAAGGAACTTGGGTAGAATCCATTCTCCACCGCTTTAAACTTATGATTCTTTTGAAAAGTTAAGAAAAGTCATGTCTGCACCACCGTCAGAAAAAATGTTAAGCATGTACAGGAACAAAACTACACCTTAGATGGCCATTTGATTGTTTAGGTATATACATAATAGTAAAAAAGTAGACAACATTGTTTCATCTCTTCATCTCCTATTAGCTAAACTACCTCACCATTTCAAAGCTTAGAAACGAAACAATCCACATGATGAGAGGCATTACATATAAAATAAAAGAATAAAGAAGCTACGATGTTATACGTCAAAGGATAAATAACTCAAGAGCTTTATAAGATTAATTGTTCAAAATTAAAACGTCAAGTCACTTTCTAGTTCTTGCTAGAAAAGGAAACCTAAAGCAATGTCTAACAAACTCTCCATTCCATGAAACCAAATAGATTGAATAATATATTAAAAATGAACTCTAGGAGAATGCGCAATGGTCAGACCGTGTTCATGGTAGCAATTTTAGATTAAATAGGACAAATTAGAAATACTTAAAATATTAAATGGAAGTATAAATAAATGAATGAATCAATAAACTAGTGGA